CAGAGAGAGAAAGAGAGACAGAGACAGAGAGAGAAAGAAAGATAGAGAGAGAGACAGACAGACAAAGAGGGAGACAGAGAGAGAGAGAGAGAGAGAGAGAGAGAGAGAGAGAGGAGAGAGAGAGAGAGAGAGAGAGAGAGAGAGAGAGAGAGAGAGAGAGAGAGAGAGAGAGAGAGAGAGAGTGAGAGGAGAGAGAGAGAGAGAGAAGAGAGAGAGAAAGAGAGAGAGAGAGAGAGAGAGAGAGAGAGAGAGAGAGAGAGAGAGAGAGAGAGAGAGAGAGAGAGAGAGAGAGAGAGAGAGAGAGAGAGAGAGAGAGGGAGAGAGGGAGAGAGGGAGAGAGGGAGAGAGGGAAAAGGGGAGAGAGGGAAAGAGGGAGAGAGGGAGAGAGGGAGAGAGGGAAAGAGGGAAAGAGGGAGAAAGGGAAAGAGGGAAAGAGGGAGAGAGGGAAAGGGGGAGAGAGGGAAAGAGGGAGAGAGGGAGAGAGGGAGAGAGGGAGAGAGGGAGAGAGGGAGAGAGGGGAAGAGGGAGAGAGGGAAAGAGGGAGAGAGGGAAAGGGGGAGAGAGGGAAAGAGGGAGAGAGGGAAAGAGGAAAAGAGGGACAGAGGGATAGAGGGAGAGAGGGAAAAGGGGAGAGAGGGAAAGAGGGAGAGAGGGAAAGAGGGAAAGAGGGAAAGAGGGAAAGAGGGAGAGAGGGAAAGAGGGAGAGAGGGAAAGAGGGAGAGAGGGAAAGAGGGAGAGAGGGAGAGAGGGAGAGAGGGAAAGAGGGAAAGAGGGAAAGAGGGAGAGAGGGAAAGGGGGAGAGAGGGAAAAGGGGAGAGAGGGAAAGAGGGAAAGAGGGAGAGAGGAAAAGAGGGAGAGAGGGAAAGAGGGAGAGAGGGAAAGGGGGAGAGAGGGAAAGAGAGAAAGAGGGAGAAAGGGAAAGGGGGAGAGAGGGAAAGAGGGAAAGAGGGAGAAAGGGAAAGAGGGAAAGAAGGAGAGAGGGAAAGGGGAGAGAGGGAAAGAGGGAGAGAGGGAAAGAGGGAAAGAGGGAGAGAGGAAAAGAGGGAGAGAGGGAAAGAGGGAGAGAGGGAAAGGGGGAGAGAGGGAAAGAGGGAGAGAGGAAGAGAGGGAGAGAGGGAAAGAGGGAGAAAGGGAAAGAGGGAAAGAGGGAGAGAGGGAAAGAGGGAGAGAGGGAAAGAGGAAAAGAGGAAAAGAGGAAAAGAGGGAGAGAGGGAAAGAGGGAAAGAGGGAGAGAGGGAAAGAGGGAAAGAAGGAAAAGAGGGAAAGAGGGAAAGAGGGAGAGAGGGAAAGAGAGAGAAAGGGAAAGGGGGAGAGAGGGAAAGAGGGAGAGAGGGAGAGAGGGAAAGAGGAAAAGAGGAAAAGAGGGAAAGAGGGAAAGAGGGAGAGAGGGAAAGAGGGGGGGGGAGAGAGAGAGAGAGAGAGAGAGAGAGGAGAGAGAGAGAGAGAGAGAGAGAGAGAGAGAGAGAGAGAGAGAGAGAGAGAGAGAGAGAGAGAGAGAGAGAGGAGATGAGGAGAGAGAGAAAAATCTGACCTTGCCATCCATTAAAATGTACAATTCTATAACAGTTTTCTTCAATAGCATTTTCTTTGCAAACTCCATGATACATACTCTTCCAGAGGTGAGAGGATGTGACATGAAATCTATAAAATGGCAACACAATTGGACGGAATTATAAAGGATGATGAAAGGGAGGGAAATCAAACGAATCAATGGGAATTGTACTTGGCCATGACATGACAACAGACACTAGCAACCAGTCCATTAGAGACAATAGAAGCTGAACCCAAGGGAAGTCAGTTGAAATTCAAATCAGTTCCATTGTGGCTAGACTGACTTCATGATGTCATTTTGCCTTTAACAATTCCAGATAACAGTTACAACAAAGATTTTGATGACTAGCAAGCAGGCCATTCTGAATTTGTAGGTCAAGGTAAGAAATTTTCAGTTCTAGATCCAGATATTTGCCTGGTTTTGTAGACCAGGCAGAGAGTGGGGGGCATCAGCCCCTCTGAAAAAGGTAGGGGGGCAAAGTCCCCTATTTACTACAAATGTGCTTCGCAATAACTAAATTACTGAATGCTTTAATTCAATCTTTTATTTTACGCCCACAGTTTCTCAGTTACTTTTCGTGCCCTTCCCCGTTATTAGTGCCAAAATTGTAGCTGTGCTTTGTTTGCAGTGGGGAAAAGTGGTGGATTCCTTTGAAACAGGATGAGAGGTATCAAAACAGTTTTCACCTGGAACGTGGTGTAAGGCATCATTTCCAAATGTATCGTATCGAAAAGTCCCCACTCTGTAGGCTAGGGTAATCCAGAAAAACAGAATATGTGCCGGGAAAGAGATGAAAGGATGAAGATGTTTAAATCAAATATTCCTCAACGAAATTATTATGGTACATTCCAAACACACAATAAATAACTGGTGACACGGAAAGAAATAAATTTGAATTTATGCCGACGACTCCTAAAACATACTTCTCGTCTTTCCACAGATAAATTC